TGGGGAGATTCCTGCCAAATGGGAGGTGTTCCTCTTCCTGTCCACGCTCCTGCACCAGCTGGAGTTCAGCCTGACGCCCGGCGTGGAGCCCGACCTCACCCCCACCTATGGGCTCACCATGAAATATGCCCGCTGCCCGCATTTCCGGGCACATCCCCGCTCGGCCAAATAACAAGGCCCTGCGGTGCCAGGGAAAAGGGGGCACCTGTGGGGCTTGGGTTTGATTGCTTTCCACTTGTTGATTTTATGGAGATATAATGCTTTTTCCACAGGTCACATTGCCTGTAGGATATTCATAAAGTAGTGTAAGCATCTCCATGTACCCCCAGGACCCGCAGGTTCGTGTGCATGTCATGACTGTCCCCACTGATCTTGCCACCCCATGCCCTCCACCCCCAGCTACAAATTTACTTCCTGTCCCTACTGCCTTGGGTAAAGAATTCATGTCCACAGAATGGGACAACACATAGTCTGCACCTGAATTGGTTCCCTCAGCATACTTGTTTCAAAGTTTGTTCCATTGGTAGCTGGTGTCACAATGTCCTGGTCTTTGATTTTAGTTGTTTTTTTTTGGGAGGGGGGCAGGATGTGAACTCAGGGTCTACTCATAGCCAGGTGCTGGTGGTCATACCTGTCATCCAGATACCCAGGAGGATGAAATTTGAGGATCACAGTTCAAAGCCAGCCTGGGCAGGAAAGTTCATGAGACTCTTATCTCCAATGACCACCAGAAAACCAGAAGTGTTCTATGGCTCAAAGTGGTAGCCTTGAGCAAAAGAGCTCAGGGACAGTGAGCAGGCCCTGAATTCAAGCCTCAGGCAGGTCTGGTATCACACACACACACACACTGGTATCACACACACACACTAAACTTATAGCTCACACCTGTAATCCTAGTTACTCAGGAAGCTGAGATCCAGAGAATCACACTTCAAGGCCAGATCAGCCAGCAAAGTTCACCAAACTCCATCTCAACAGGCTGAGATTTGAGCATCACGTTTCAAAGTCAGCATGGCATGAAAATCTAGTCCCAGCCTTGAGGAAAATAAAAAAGCCAAAGGAGAGTTCAAGGCTCTCAGTTTAAGCTCCAGTACACACACACACACACACACACAATTCTGGGAAAGGTGTTCACAGGTTCTCAAGGCCTGGACAAAGCTACCGTGCGTGCAACTGTTTGCAAACATACCAGGCCGAGCCTGCGCCCACTTCCTCTCATTCTTTCCCCCACCCAAAGCTGGGTAGGGTGTGAGGGGTGCTAGCGTGCCAGGGAACAATGAGAAGCTCTCAGAAGGAAATTCTCCTGGTGGATTGGCCACTGCTACCCGCCCCCTCTGTCTGCTGTCTGTCTGTCTGTCTGTCTCTATCTCCTCCAGCAACTCCACTGTCATACTAGTGGCTCATAACTGTCATCCTAGCTCTTCAGGAGGCTGAGATCTGAGGATCACGGTTTAAAGCCAGCCTAGGCAGGAAAGTCTTAGAGACTCTTTGGGGTTTGTTTACTTTGTTGCTCGTGGGGCTTGAACACTGGGCCTGGGCGCTGTCCCTCAGCTCTTCAGCTCAAGGCTAGCACCCTACTACTTGAGCCACAGTGCCACTTGCGGCTTTTCTGCTTATGTGGTGCAGGGCCTCATGCACGGGAAGCAAGCACTCTACCAAAAGCCTTCTGGCTTTTTGGCTGGTTTATTGGAGAAATAC